GCATCCGTGACCAACAAGTGTTGTCTCTAGCAATGTATAGATGTGTGGAAATCTAGATGGAAAGCCGCCGTTTCAAGCCAAATATCAATCTAAAAACGGATTTTATTGCCTTCCCGAATGACGTCGAGAGTTGAGAAGGATGAGGTTGTTGAGTTTCCAAAGACGTAAGCCAAAGGTGTTGTTATTGATTTTGGAAGAATTGTGATAGTTGTTGTTAAATCATTTGATCAAAATGATTGATTTCTATAAGTTGTTACCTTAATTCTAGAATCTCTATATCCACTTTCCGAGGAGAGCATTGCTAAGCTTATCGATGGATCTCAAACCCAAACCGCCCTCTTTGGTTGGTTTCTTGATATCCTTCTAGCTAACCAAATGAATTTTCCTACTGTTGTCATCACTATCTCCCCATAAGGAATTACACTGAATTGATTCCAGTTTGTTTGCAACCCTGATGGGAATTTTAAGCAATGACATAAAATAAATAGAGAGGTTTGATAGGATGCTTTTGATGAGAGTTAATCTACCTACTTTGAATAAAAATTTCCTCTTCTAATTAGTAAGACGATTGTGGAACATGTCAATGACCGGTTCCCAACATTTCATGTCCTTATGTTTAGCCTCTAGAGAGACTCCTAGATAGGTGATGGGCATATTTGATATGCATTCTACTTTATTTTCAGGGTATCTCCATCTGATTCTCATTACCACCCAGGGTAATCCCCTTTAAGAGTTTTAGGGCCTTAGCTTTCTCCAGCAGTTTGTTCAAGACCTCCATAACGATGATGAAGAGAAGCAGGGAGCGAGGATCCTCTTGTCTTAGGCCTCTCGTGGCTGTGAAGCAGTTGGAAGGGTCGTCATTTTCAATGACTGCAAAACTAGCAGAAGAAATGCACATTTTGATCTAGCATCGCCACGGAGTATCGAGCCCGCACCTCTCTAACATATAATCTATGAAATTCCAGTCAACATGATCAAAGGTCTTCTCCATATCAAGCTTGCATAAGGCTCCTTGTTTATTGTTCCTGTTACTTCATCACATGTTTCATTGGCAATGAGGATAGCATCTGCAATCTGTTTACCTAAAACAAAAGCATTATGGGATTCATCGATTATTTTGTGTAGAATATAAGATAATCTTTTGGTCAGCACTTTAGATAGTAGCTTTTAAATGCAGCCGATACGGCTGATTGACTGGAAGTCTGAAATGTTAACCGAGTTAACTTTCTTAAGAATCATGACAAGAAAAGTAGAGTTATGAAATCTTACAAAAGAGCCATGATCGTGGAAATTCTTGAAAAAATCCAAGATATCATCTTTGACAATTTCCCAGAAGGTTTAGATGAAGTTGAGATTAAAATTGTCCGGTCCCAGGGGTTTATCCCAATCACATTCTCGCAGGCAATCAAAGATTTCAGCCTCAGTTCACTCTTTTCTAGTTAATTTTGTCTTCATCATTGATTCTATTGAACAACAGCTCATCTGGTCTGGGCAGGAAGAAATAGTTTCAAAATAAAGCATGTGGAAATACTTGCACCATTTCTCAGTTCTTCATTGCTCTTAAGTTGTGGCTTTATCCTAATTTCAAACAGTTCCACTTCCTTTCCCACAAATGCTGCCAATAATTTCTTTCTACTCAATTTCTTTCTTGTTAGAGAAAGTTTAAAAAGAAAATTAAGCATGTTTATGCTAATTTTATTTGGCAATCTCCAACTTTAGTACCTAAGATGATGTTCAAGAGAGGGCGACAGATGGAATTAATTTGAAGATTTAGGAGGATCATTAATTGTTTGAAATAATTAAGTTGGATAAGCAATTACCCAAAACCCCAAAAAGCTTGAAACTAATAGGAAAGAGCATAAAACTAATAGAAGTGTAAGCAAAAGGAAGATTACGGGCTTTGTAGTTTTCACTGCTCGAAGGCAAGTAGTGGACAAAGGAAAGAGTGAGGAAATAATAGAAAAGGGTGAGGCAACTAGGTTGTGGAGAAACCAGCAAATCTATTTACTGGATATAAACTTGCTAAAATTGCTGACAGACTAGTTTAAGGGGCCATAAGATTCCCATTCTCGTGACAATCTTATCCAACAACGGGAATCATTTTATTCCATTCTATCACTTAATCTCATCTCCCTCTTTACCAAACAAGCATAAGAGGCAAATATTAGATGGAAATCACAAGAGATGCAAAGAAGTGCCTCAAATATATACATAAGTCTCCATTATTAGGCCTATATATTATTCTAAATGATACACCAAACATGATTGTCCTTGGTCCTTGTTTGACAAGAAAGATTTTAACACTAGATAGCATTTGATATTCAAAGAATACTTTTTGTCTCATCTTTAGTTCTACACATTAGTGCCTCAAAAATTTGTACTTCACCAGCCAACTGAAACATTCTGTTACATAGAAGAAATTTGAAGATGAAAAGAAGAATATGATATTCACTGATGCTAACCATACACATTGATCTCCCTTCCTGTCTAAATGCCTGAACCAACAACACATACAGCATACACCACAAGAGCTTGGCACATGCTATCATATGTGTTTTGGCAAGTTTCAACAAGATAGTCGAACAATTGTGTCCATAGTAAAGTATTCATAAAAAATTTAATGCAATCTTTTATGCATAAGTGATGCATACTAAGCAACCTAACTCATTACCTGATACAGAGGGCGCCAAAAATCAGAAAGAAGTAAATCTTTCTCAAAGACAAGGACAATAATTTCCAAAGAAAGTTGCACAGCTCTTTCTAAAAGTTGTCCATATGTTTGACTAGTTCGTTCAGTAATAACTGCATTGACCCCAGGCTGAAGAATGCTCATAATATTCCGGAAGATAGTTTTGCCACTCATGAAATCCTGCAAAAGAAAATGTCAAATATAATGCACTGCATTAATATGCAAAGGCCAAACTTTTCCATTTCCCGAACAGATAAGAAACAGCAGCAAATACATAAAGCAGCACCATGTAGCTCTTCAAATATAAAATTTAAACATTTAAAAGCATGCCACCACAGGAAAATTAATATGTACTTGGAATCAGATGACTAAGAAATGCACCAGCCAAGTTAAAAGACTTGGGGGCAAATTACAAGCTCACCCTTGACTAAGAAACCATGATTTGTTTCAACATTTCACTATGCTAGGTTTCTTGGTTAGCTATGATTTCTAACATTGTTACGTAAAACCACGTGCATTTTACAAAATCAAAATATTAGAAACCTCAAGTTCCTGTCATATTGGAAAGTTACAAAAAAACACAGAATGACTGTAAGAAAAATTAAACCACAATGGATAAAACTGTAATTTACTTCAAAACGATATATAACCTTCTGAATATTACTGCAAACGACTACAGACAAATCTTCAAGATAGTAGAATTTTACAAAAAGAAAACACAAAAAGACCACAATGGTGAAACTATAATTTGCTCAATGATTCATGAAGATACAACATATGAACTTTTTCTAAAGATTTCTTCTTAAGAAAAGTGAAAAAGACCTAGAAGAAGAGAAAGGACAAGGGACCCTAGTACAAGACCAACAAAAAGGAAAAATTTTGAAAAACAAGTACAGAAAGGCTAAGGGCCTCAATATAGAATAGCATCCCAAGCTCCTTTGCAATAAAGCATTAACATTGAATAGAAGCTCACACTTTTTTTAATAGAGAAGAAGTTTTATTATAATAAGAGAGAACAAAGAATTACAAATACAGAGAATAAGATCAAAATGATTACGACGGTTATAATGAAATAACGAAACACAAATGAAAACATACAGCTTGAGAATAATCATATTCTAAGTTTGATAAAGTTCTGAGATGGGTATATCAGGATATCTCCCATGCGTTTTGGCCCATAGGGTGGAGAAAAATGTAATCCAATCCCACTCTTAACAAATCCTGGGTTTCTTCCTTTCAAGCCAAATCAGCCATAAGCTTACAAATACCGCCCCTTCCTAGAGAGGGTGGAGAAAAATGTAACCCCATCCCACACTCATGACAAATCCTGGGTTCCTTCCTTTCAAGCCAAATCAGTTATAACCCTACAAATATCTCCCCTTGCCAGAGGGCTTTAACTCCCTCACATACATCCTCCCCATGAATACATGAGCCTAAAAATCCTCAAAAGTAAGAGGAACAACCCAAGGAAGACCGAACAGATAAATCAGTTTGGCCCACAAAATCCATGCAGTTTCACAATGTAGGAGCAGATGGGAATGCGTCTCTCCTGTTCAGCACATGACACATATATTTGGAGACAGTATGTGGTGAGAAGCTCAAACTTTTTCCAGCCACATTAAGGATGACTAGAGAAGAAAGCAGGAAAAGACATGACAAATCCATAATAAGAGTCAACCAAACAGAAAAAGAACGAAAATAAAAAAATTTACGCATCTCTAGGGCCGACTATGAAGATAAAGAATTAAAAAAAAAATAGCTGGGTGGCGGCTGCAAAGAGCAGCAGCAGCTCCTAGAGCCAACTATGAAGTAAGGCTGGTGGTTGAGGTGGCCATTCCTGTGGTGGCCAACGAGAAGAGGGTGGTGGCCAACTATGAATGCGAGCTCCTTTTAGATTTTTTTTTTGTTTGGCAATGAAAGTTAAATTGGGTTTGTAAAAAAGTTAGGGAATTTCTCAACCTAAAGCTTTTGTATCATGTTAAAAATGATTTTTCTATTTATGTATATTTCATTAAGTATTAGAATACTATATATACAGATTTTCTAGAACGGAAAAGAAAATAGATAATTAACTGGTATCATTTTACCCTTAAAACTGATTTGTTTCTTCTAACACCGTGATTGTTTCCTCCCTAACATCCTAATTTACTTTCTCTTTAACATCGTAATTTACTTTCTCTTTAGTATCATGATCTCTTCTTCTTAACAAAGTTTATGTTTCCTCTTTCATTTAGAGACTCTATTGAGAAAATTTATATTGTAATATATGTGAATTTGCTAAACATAAATAAATAAGATAGCAATAAAAGAAGCGAGTTTTCCTTTTTCATTAATTCATAATGATATCTGGGAACCTATTCCTAATGTTGTATTTAAGATATTTTTTTGAGATAAAAAATGTATTGTCTAAAATATTATCCTGTGAGAAATAGAAAAGTGTCATGATTATTGAAATGCAGGCTCTATAAATAAACCAAACATAGGAAATAATGCACTTGTCAAAAGGAAAAAAACTCATGGGATCCAAATAAGTGTTCGCCATAAAATACGGGTAAGACGGAAAAATTGACAGATACAAAGCAAGATCAGTAGCCAAATGCTACATCAAAACTTACGAGATAGACGATCAATAGAATATTCATGTCAAGTACAAAAATAATTACAGTGCTAGTTTTGCTATCTCTGGTTGCCTACTTCAACTGGCAATTAAAACAATTTTACGTTAAAATGCATTCTTGGAAGGAAAGTAACACCAACACTTTACGGGCTCAAGCAATCACTAGCGCGTGATTTGGTAGATTTGATAAAGTGATATTGCACATGGAGTACAAGCAGAGTCAAGGAGATCATACCATGTTTTTATCATGTACTCAAATTTACAGGGAGTCACTCATAGTATATGTCAATGACACTATGGTGACAAAGGATAATTTTTTTTTTTTTTTTTGAGATAAAAAGTGTAACTTATATTACTATAGGCATCAAGAGGTGCAAACCATGTACAATTATTTACAACTCAATTCTCAACATAAAACAACACTCTGAGAGCCTCAGGAAACATAGGAGGATGACCCAACAACAAAAATTCTAGAGTCTTAACCCATCTATTTTAAGAACATTAAAACCATTAACATCATCTATGCCATCAAACGTCCTTCTATTTCTTTCCTTCCACACAAACCATAAAAGTGTCAGCGGGATAAAATCAGCAGAAATACACTTGTCTCTTAGATATTCTCAAGCCCAGAACTCTTCCTTAACAGAATAAGCCATCACCCAACTAATCCCAAGCGATTTATACACCATGGTCCACAACAAATACACCATGGGGCACCACAGTAACAAGTGCTTACAGCTCTCCTCCGCCTGCTTGCAGGTATTAGCATGCATTAACCATAACCAAGCCCCTCCTCCTTAGTTTATCAATTGTTAGAATGCACTCTCTGCTAGCCTCCCAAGCAAAAAAAAAGAAACCTCGTGTGGAACTTTCACCTTCCAAATTTGTTTATGTGAGAATGTACCAATATTTATATCATATTGAGAGAGCCCTTTGTACCAGGATTTTACCATGAAAGATCCATTTTTCACGAGTTTCCAACGAGGAGTATCATCATTGTTGCCAAGGGATGCAAGTGAGATAGCTCTCATCATCTACTCATACTCATTTAATTCCCAATCGTTCAAATTCCTTAACACCAACACCTGCCACACTCCATCTCCACCAGGCTTCCTCACAAAACAGTCATAGACCCTCACCCCCTTATTCTAGGCAATAGCATAAATCTGCAGAAATTGGTCTTTTAGCAAGTCGCCTTCTAGCCACTGGTCATCCCAAAAACTAATTTTGTTTCTCCTTCCCACGTTCCAGCATATATATCTTAGGAATCTCTCCTTACCATCCTTTATCTCTTTCGATAGGCTTTTCCTATGAGACCGCAAAGCCCCACGGGAGAGCCAACCTCTCTCCTCCACCCCAAATTTTGAGACAATGATTCTTCTCCATAAAGCATTCTCCTCATTCATGAAACGCCATAGTCATTTCCCCTGTAGAGCTGCATTCGTTTCAACCAGTGACCATATAGTGACAGAGTATGATGAAGAAGAAAAACTTAGGCTCAAGCGTTCTCTGACCAAGGAGTTTAAAATTAATGAATTAGGAAAACTAAGATACTTCCTGAGAATCGAAGTAGCACATTTAAGATCAGAGATCTTCATCTCACAATAAAAATACATAAATGATTTGTTGAAAAATACAAGTAAACTAGCATGTAAATTGGCTAGTACATTTATTGACTCCAATTATAAGTTGGGACAAGTGGAAGAGGATATCAAAATAGATAAAAGGATGTATAGATTCTAGTTAGGAGGTTAGTTTACCTATCATACACAAAACTTGACATAGCCTATTTAATGAGTGTGACAAGTCAGTTCATACATGATCCTAAAGAGGTACATTTACAAGCAGCCTATAGAGATTTACATTGTCTAAAGGGAAAAACAAAGAAAGGCCTAATATTTAAAAACGACTAACAAATTGATCCTTGAAGCTTACATTATGTAGAGTATGCAGGATTAAAGGTAGATAGAAGATCTACTACAAGTTATACCTTTCTAGAGGGTAATTTGGTCATTTAGAGGAGTAAAAAGCATAATGTAGATGTAAAATCTAGTGCGGAGTCAGAATTCCAAACAATGGTACGAGAGATCCTAAAAGATCTAAAAGTCAAGTGGAATAGCCCAATGTGTCTTTATTGTGACAAAAAATCAGCAAAGAGAATTACTCATAATCCTGTACAGCATGGAGAATATATGTCATTGCCCAGTCAAAGCACATGTTTATTGAAGATGCATACATAGATACTAATGGCAATAGAGAATGGATAGTGAATGTGAACAAAAACCTAAATGACTGGGGAGTTGAAGAGTAAGAAGCTATGCTTTTGCTCCTTTCCACAATGCATGTGAATAAGGATAGGGACCAGATTGAGTGAAAACTTAAATAGAATGGGAAATTCACTATCAAGTCCTATTATAAATATCTAATGGACAGAGAACAAATGGGATTCCTAATTTTCTGGCTTATCATATTTGGAAAGTGAAGGCGCCTCCAAGGGTTACTTTTTTTACCTGGGAGGCGAGCCGTGAGTGCATATTGACAATTCATAAACTAATTAAAAGAGGCAAAATAATGGTAAATGGGTGCTACATACATAAGAAAGATGTTGAAGCATGTAATCACATTCTACTCTACTTTGGTGTCTAGTGGCCTATGAATTATGGACAATGGTTTATGGTCTATTACAGATCAAATGGGTTATGGCAGGGTCTATGAAAGACGAACTATGAGCTTGGAAATGATTACGCACAAAAAGACAATTTGTAAATTTTATTCCACTTACTATATTTTGGGTTTTACGGAAAGAAAGAAATAGTAAGGTTTTATAGGGTAATGAAGCTGAGATATCTAAGATCAGGGATAGATTGTTACATTTTTTTGGATCCTACATTTTAGGGCATGATATTTTTTTGATAAAGGATTTTGGAAAAGTTATTAATATTTTTACACAATTATAAATTTTTTATGTACGAGTGCTACTACTGTGGTACCTTGTAAATATCATTCTTTATATTTTTTATTTATAAAAAAATAATCATGTACAACATAACAGAACAAAACACATTGAACTTGATATGCATTTATCAATGAGAAGCTAGATAGTGCCTCATATGTATTCGCTATGTGCACACCAAGTTACAACTTGTAGATGTGTTGATAAATACTTGAGTAACCCAGCATTTCAAACTATCATTACAAACATGGAGATGAATAAAATCTATTCGCCAGTTTGAGGAGAAGTGCTAATAATATATTTTATGTATAAATAGAGCTAAATTAGGTTAAAGGATTTTCAAGTAAAATAAGTTCTTTATAATTAATTGTAACTTTCCTTTTTCTTACCCCTAGAATTTGTATATATAAGAACTTATTGTTCAATGAGAATACAATACAATTAGTCCTGACAACAGTGAAACTTCAATTGTCACAGTATAGGGAAAAAAGCATAATCAACAACAATAAACACATACCTTCAGCAACTCTATGAGAGGCAGCTGCATTTGAAGTGGAGAAGGCTGTGATATTGATGAAATCTGTATCTGGTCCATAACACTATCAATGTCCTCATCTTGAATGTTGTACATGCTTAGAATCCTTTTTCAAAGAAAAATATGATAAGTTACAAACAAGGTACCGAGGTCATATATGCCAATCAAATGCACATTCAATGATTGAAAGCCATCAACTGGCAGTCAGATAAGTGTTGTTCACTGAGTAAGGAATGAGGAGGAAGCAGTTGTTATTATATGAAACAGATTTTCCTTCTTTTTTGTTTGGGATTGGGGGGGAGAACAACAAGAAGTGACTATTTTGTAACAGAAAAAGGTTTTCAAAAAAAAAAAATCATTTGATACACTCACATGTGAAAATGCTGAAGACAAGCAACAACCAATTGCCATTTCTCACAAGGATCTGCATATGCTCTTTGAGGGAATGGCCCAAACACATGATCACAAATGAATCTAAAAATGCCAATAAATCTGCAAAGAAGATATCCCATGTCAGACCAAGAACGCAAGGAAAAAAAAAACTAAGCCTCTTAGGAACGTCAGTGGCAAAATAACACCTTTGGTAGCACATATTTAAGAAGGGAAAAAAAACAAAGAAGGAAAAAGAAATGACGTAATTTGCAGATGTTTTATGTGGCTATGTAGTCTGCAGGTGCTGTTTTATGTGACTGTTGTATAATTTTTTTTAAGTGGTTGTTACGTATTCAGTGCCGTCATTGTGCACGTGTCTATGTTTAGTAGAAGAAATTAGGGAGAAAAACAGAGGGCAGTTGGTTGACTTTAGAAGTAACGGCCAGAATTAACTGCCTCTCATGTGTTGGATTTCGTGTGTACTAAGTAGGATATTTAAGCGGGTATTTATGTAATAGTCTGGCAGGATAGCAGGAGAAAAATAGGGAGAAAATGCAGCAGTAATTGCTCTGGGAATAACCACCAGAACAACTGCTCCTCATCCCTCTTGTATAAAAATTGCTTGCTGTCTCAGAAATAAATATGCAGAAAAATTTATCTAAACAAAGTTTCTTGGGCACTCTAACTCCAGGAGATTGTTGAGTTCTCTCTTAACGAGTAGATACTATTAACAAAATCTCATAACGAGATCCATAAATCGGGACCATAAAAATCTCAGGAGAAAAGGAAAAAAAAATCAAAGAGAACAAAGATTGTTACCTACGCCCCCTGTCGCTTACATCTTTTTCTTCCATAATAAGAGCATTTATAAGGTTAAGGAATGATATTGTTGAAGGATATTGTTCTCTCCTTGCTTCTATTTCATTCAATTCAAATTGCATGTCGTAAACCTGTATGCCGAAGGTCGAATTAGTCACTCAAACTTATATGACAAAAAAGATACTTGTTTGCTGTGAAGTCCAGTCATCAAACAAGTGTTTCAAACTGGCAGCCAGAAGGCAAGAAACATGTTGCAAGAAATTTTTGCAAGCTCAAAAATATTCATTTGTACAAAATCATACTCCATCCACTAAATTAGCATCATTTTCCATGTTCCACTAATTTTACAATGAAATCAATTCACAGCATGATAGAACTAAAATCTATCATAATACTTAACTGGGAATCCCCTCACAAAGAGGAAATATTTTATTTTTGTAAAACTTCATAGATGTACTCCTTTTTTCAAACCAAATTTTGACTACTTCTAGTTATTAGCAGTGCCTTTTGTCATAATAAGAAAAGGATTATGATGACTAGAAAAAGATGAGATACAATATTGAGGATAAAACATCCTCTAAACAACCTCCATAAAAAGCAAAGCAAAATAAGAACGAAGAGAGAAATATAAAATCAGTGGAAAATTGCCTCTGCAATATATTTCAGCAATATCTCAAATAAAAACAGTTATGTTTTGGCTCACGAAGAAGCCAAAAAAACCATTCTACTCCAAAGAAACTGAGGGGGCATATAACAATCGTTAAAAAATCCATCATTCAAAATTGCCTAACACCCACAATTTGACAATTCAACAATAATAGCACCTCTCTAGAGGACCCTCATTTCCTTCCTCACCTCATCTCTGTTTCAGGGTTGATATAGAATGGATTAACTCTAAATTGCCTAAATAGATTAGAAATTATAACTTCATTAACTATTTATTTCAAAGAAAAACTATAACTTTATTAAATATAAAACTATTATATTATTCAGAAGTCTATTATAGTTCTGCACTTCTAGTATTTTATTTTTATTAGTACTTAGTTTTCTATTTGTATTAGCATTATTATTTCCTAATTCTATCAGTACTAATATTTCTCAGTCTAATCCAATCTAGTAAAGGTTGCTTAAAGAGTATCATAAATATTTTTACAATTTCACTTTTAGAACATACTTTCATTATTCAATAAAATACTTTTGAGTTTCTCAAATTTTTATATGTACAATATAAAAAACTGTTAATTATGATGCTTAAGACTCCATAAATGTGATCGACCTTAGGTGTGATGTTCAGATTTTTATCCTTAAATTTCTAAGTAGGCAAACTAACCCTAATTCATCATGCATCAAGAGGCTAACAAAGATGCCTAGATTAGGCTATAAGTACCAAAAAGCTTTATCCAGAACTTTCAAGCACATCGCAGCGAAGAAGATGTGTCATTGGGTTCATTTGACATATAACACATCAGACATATATCGGGGAAGAAAATAGGTTTTCTCAGGAACTTGCAACAAATTATTAGTGTTACATTTGTTCATTACAACCCTCCGAACAACAACCTTTTACTTTATAGGAGATCTAAATCTCCCAAAATTTAAGTATTCAGAAATTCAATAAAGTTAAGAGAGTTGCCAAACTGAGGTTTAGGATGTGGGTAAAAAAGCCTTGCAAGTATAGCGACCCAATAGATCAAGAAGTCCAAGTTCTACTGTCAGCTTGGGATGAGTAAGCTAGGATTATGAGTAAGCTACTAGCAGCGACTATTGTTTCAAAGTTTTTGCTTAGAATTTAGAAGAACAACAGCTTTAAAGTTGATGAAATACCTTCAAAAAATGCAGTTAGAGTTGATCTTGAATATAAATCTCCATGCATCACAGAATATAAATCACAGCTAGACCTATAAAATCTACATAACAGCAGGATTCATGCATTAGTAGTGCTATATTTTAACCTTTTCTCAAGACCTTTTAATATCACATTATTTATTCATCTGAATTTCTTGATTCCAATGCAACCTAGTCCACAAATTCTCGACTAAAGAAATATAAGCTTGATTTAAGGAGTCATACGGTTATGAGTAAGAGTGGCAAGAAAATTTATGTCCCACCAAACCCAAACTGACCCGCTCAATATTATTTTAACCATAACCAAACTGAATCAGGTCTGGTTGGTTCTTTTTTTCTTAATCCTTATACCAGGACAGTTTCGGTTCGGGTTTGGAAGTGAAAAACTCATCCAAGCCTGACATATATAAAATATTATGCATTTTTAAATTTTCATTAAAAATTGATTATCTATTTAGTTAAAAACCCTAATTGCTAACCCGTTACATCACCCAACCTAACTTCTAACCCTAGCCACTCAACATCTTCCTTCTTCATCCTAGTCATTGTCACTGTCCACTGTTCGACCTCGACTGCATCTGCATTCCTAGATGCCGCCACCATTGTCCTTGCTACAATTGCTGCCTCCTACCATCGTTGTCTTCTTCGTAGAGAGGTATCACCATGAATTTTTTCTTTCTTCTTTTGCCATTGCATTAACTACGTACTAATGAAATGTCTTCTTCTTCACAATCTGTCTCTTCTTTTATTGTTTCTTTCTTTCATCCGCAAACTCACATGTATAATAAGTACATCCCCTAATGAAGATGTATTCAAAGTTTGGCCAGTTGCAAACTGCAGTTGCTTTAAATGGTAATGTAGTAAGCTTTTCTGGTCTCGAGAGCTGAAACCATTTATTGTCGGTTTGAACTAAGATAAGATTTAAGAGGTTGCTCATAAGGAAGTTTTGGAATTCTTGACGTGGTTATGGAATTGTTGATGTGGTTATGGCTTTTTGTGGTTGAACCTAGAGCTGAAGAAGGATGAGATCAGCAAGCAGAAAGCATGGTTGTCTTCTCTAGAAACTAGAGAGCACGTCATAGACTTGGCTCTTGGGGGCTTGACAATGGGTGTGGACACATCCACCAAACACCTAATTGGAAAATCCAACATCATCATTCGGAAAGAACAGTTCAAGCACGTACACCATCCATCGAATCGGAGAATCCAACACCAATGGGAATGGTCTCACCATGCAAGCAAACAAAGCTTTCTCTCAGTTAGCAGTATTGATTCAGCCTTCAAGTAGTCAACTGATTCTGTTACTATGGCTGCTGCTGCTAACTCGAGGACCCACTGCTCACTTTCTGTTGTGTCTCTGATCTGCCTATGTTGCCACCAGCCAAAATTTAACAGCAAAAGATAGAGAAGACTAAACAAGAACACAAAAGAGATAGTCTGCATCTAAATAGAGCAAAAGAGGTTCCTTTTTCCTAGAACCAGTCAGCAACTAGAGACGAGTGTTTTGATTAAATAATTGAAGTAGACAAGCACTTCAGCAAAGGAAAATTGGATTGTGGGCTAAATTGTACTCCACCGCTTCACAACTAACTAATGTTTTGACTAAATAATTATGTAATCTTATATTTCAAACAATTATTGTCCACACTGGGAATGAATAATATCTATTCATTAAATTAAGGTAGAGTATTAAGAAGTACAGTTTAGGGTTTTATTAGGGTAAGCGTATATTAGTAATATACACTGGATCTTTATAATATTTGTAATTAATAGTGTTTCCTTTTATTGTCGCTATTACTTGTATATATAGGCTCCTAATATTCAATAATATACACGACAATCTATTCTTCCACACATCATAGAAGGGTTATTTTTTTTTCTTGTAAAATAAATCATAAAAAGGTTAATTAAATGGAGAAATTGAAAATGAGGGTAGACAGGTCACAAGGAATGAGGAATGGAGAAGGGAGACGATGGCCTTCTATAGGAATCTTTAGACCAAAGATGTGCACTGGAGACCTACCCTGGATGGCTTACCTTTTATAATTTTGAAGACCAAGATAGAACCTTTCTTGCAAAGAATTTTACCAAGGAGGAAATTTTTGAAGGTCTTGTTGAGCTGTAAGGGGACAAAACCATAGATCTAGATGGTTTCAACTTGACTTTCTTTCAGCACAAACGGGAAACTATTAAAGAAGACTTAATATTGCTCTTTAAGGAATTCCACAACATGAGTTCTTTAATTAAGAGTTTGAACTCCA